TGGCCAGCCCCGCTGCCACTGCCGCCGGCTTGCGTCGTGACCAGGCCCGCGGCCACGGTCGCGGGGGACGGACTCGAGTCCGGTGACGAGGTCAGACTCGAGACCTGAGGTATTTGGATCTCCTGCTTGATGTGCATCAAGGGCGCGACCGCGGTCGAATAGCTGTTCGGGTCGCCGAGGCTGCCGCGTATCGTCTGGATCGCCAGTTGCCGTTGACGTATAAGTTGCAGCTTCCGCGCCCTATCCCTCTTGTACATGGGCCCGAATTTGTTTCTACCGCCTCGCATTCTGTCCGCCCGTACAGCTGAAACAGAAAGAATTGTTCATTCAGTGTGTTCAGCGGTGTGTACGTATTACGTTTAGCGAGTGTTCCTCGCGTTTATTCTTTCTTAATTTTAATCTTTAATTGACATTTAAGAGTTACAGCCGACTTTCTTTATCCTTGAATGATTTTTTCGTCGGTTTATGCTATTCGTTATACTATTCGATACTGTTAAAGACTGAATCGCACCTGATTTCTTAGGGAATGTAGGATGGAACATATTCAGGCGTCAAGTGGAAAAATCAATTTCTCAGGCAATACTATGAGATTCCCAGTAAAAATTTTTTTATATTATATATATTTAATTATATTATATATATTTATTTTTTGCGTTATAAACTTATTAGAAAAAAATCTTTTTCTTCAGTGAAGGTTTAAATTAAATTAAATTTTATTTCAAAGTTTGAGTAAATATATGGAAGACATAATTTTATGTACATAAATTTTAAGAATACGCAGAATGTGGTATCGAAGAGTTACGATGAAAAATAATGAAGAATTTTTCTAACGCGGAGTAATCAGTTTTTAATTTTGAATGCGTAGAGCGGTGTGAAAATAGCGGATCGCATTGTTCGCCGATTCGATTCTCAAGAAAAATCTCTCTCGCGCGTGCAATCGAACAAAGCAACCTTGGAGAAGCGCGGTCTTCCGAGTCAGACGAAAGCGGAAGTCACGGCTAATCGCCAGATAAGTAGGACAAAAGCGTGAGAGTGCACCGCCTGCTATTTCTGTCCATATATACGTGGCAATCAACGCGTGTGTTGTGCAAATCACTATGTTCGGCGTATTCCGCGCGTTTCCACCTTCTACGGTATGTTATCGCAAATAAACGCGATTAGCACTAGAGATCCTCCAATCAGAAAGCTTCTTTTGAAAGATTGGATATTTTCTAATAATTTGCATTAGTTAAAATATGATATATATTTTTCCTTTCTCGCATCACTCAGTGCGAAATAGTACATATCTTTTCTCACTCGCAAAATTTTGAGAATAGATGATACTCTCTTATGATTAATCTTTGATTAGAAGGTCTCTTATTGCACACAAAACGCGCCAACGCTTGACATGCGGCAAGACGCGAGAGGGATTCTCAAGTAAGAGATTGGACACCGTTTAAACAATTGCTGATTGGTCTTCAAGGATCCTCAAAGGAGATTAACATCATACGTTGATCCGCCATATTATTCAGAATCTGCTTAAGACGGATGTATGATCTATCTCATTCTATCTTAAGAATTTTTATTTTTAGGATTTTTAGATAGCGATTATCACCAATCAATTTATCGCTTTTCTGTAAGAACGAGAGAATGATCGACTATCGCATCGCATCTTTTCAAGCATTGCTGCATTCTGTACAGATACAGGATAATAAAGCCGTACGCTTTATACCGACTTCTTCAAACTAGCCGCTGATAACGAGCCATCTGCCACGTGAGATTGATAGTCATAGAGTTGTTTCGAAAACTTTTGCATATGAACGTAACGTTGGAAATACACACAGAGTTTAACACGTGATGCACGAATTTTATGAATTTCCAGTCATATTCAATTTTTTTCAACAAAATACACCAAAATGTCAGTTGCTCTTGTACTACAAGCCACTGAGAAAATAGAAATTTTTGATAAAGATTATTCATCGTTTAAATTCAAAATTTTATCGTGATAAAATTATTAAAGGTATAAGATTAATTAGAAACTTATATAAGATGATATAAGATAATTAGAAATTTATATAAGATGCCAAAAAAAAAGGTAATTAAAGAACATCGTAAATTTTTAACAAAATTTATGAGATTAATTTCAGAGTATGCCATGGTTGTGCTACTTTCATGAAGCGGAACAGATCGGAAATTATATTCTTAAATACACTTTTAAAATCAATTAAAGTAAAAGCAGATAATGTGAAATAGGGCTACTAATATTAAATAGGAATTTATTTTTGAAACTTGTATTTCATATTATATTCCATTTTATAAATCCCTTCATTTTCATACTTTTTACTTTTTTATTAATATACAGAAGTTGAATTTAAATTCTGAAATCTTCATTTATTGGACGTTGTAGCTAATATATTGCTTAAGAGTTGCATAAAGAATACATGGAGAGAATTTTCTTTTAAAATTTACCCTGAAGATATAGTTTTGATATACAATACAATATTTTAAAGAATTTTATCATACACTTCAAAAAATTAATCAAACTTATTTTATATTTTATTGTAGTTTTATTAATGAATGAGAGATTTACATTAAAAAAATTATTCGAAATACAATGTTATCCCACGACTACCATATTTTCAGGATAAACTCTAAGAAAAAATTCTTTCCTTATGCATAAAATAAAAGTATTAATATACATTCATCTATTAATATACATTTTATTAATATACATTTATATTGAATAATATTAAAAACATGGTATTCTATATTATTTGCTTTTATTCTTTCGTATACAATTGCATATAATCGTTACATTCTTCGAATATAACGATTATATGCAATTCTTATATGCAGTTCTTTAAAGAAACATACAATTTAATCAGGTATCATAGCGTTATCATATTTAAATGGTTCAATGCTACGACTCGATTTGAATCGTACACGTTTGACGAAGAGTGAATCTTCATATGCAACTCCGGGTAATAGCTAATCAGCTGGAAATGACGTATGTATGATTTAAATACGGCATACACCCAGTCGGCCTATAATCACTAACGGTGCAAAGAAAATTGGCGCTATAATAGTCGCTCGCGTAATTCGTAATTGTCGATTAGCGCGCAGAGAGCTCTCTTGCAAGCACATTTTTTTACGCTTTTTACGCTCGCGTCAAACGACTCGCCGCGCAATCGGTACTTCCTGTAAAGAAATATAACTCGGAAAGCAATTGCTTCGCTCGCGAAATGATTAGTTTTCAAAAAGATTTTCGCACGAACTTGCATTTACGATCGTTACCAAAAGATGCTTGTTTTCCTAAGCATATAAAAAATATATAAATGAAATATGGTGATGAAATAAATCAAACCTGAATATAAATGTATTCTTTTCCGGATTTTTCCAAACGTAATTTAACAATAATTTTTTATCTCTTAGGCCTCCTTGTTGCATCAACGTTATTTTGTTTTTAACTGAGATTTAAAACTCTCTCTATCCCTGTTCAGACTGTTTCTCTTCAGACTTTAAAACGAGACAGAAAGAATTTTAAGTCTCGCTCAAAATGACGTTGATGCAAGCAGGTCTTAATTAGATTCACCACCAGTGAAAATATATTAAAGAAATTACTCAATTTTTTTTAAATTTATTGATATCACGATAATTTGTTATGTAGATATTAATATTGCATTTGTTTTTTTTTTATTATGATTGAATATATACATAAAGTGTAAAAATTAAAAGACGCTATAATTTTTTTAGAAAACTTTTTTAATAGCAGAATTTTCATTACATTTTATTTTCGTTGATCTCTTTAAATTAAAATAAAATTCAATTATAATTAAAATATTATATGTATACGTGTTATATTAATTTTGTAATATTTTAATAAATAAATTGTGTTTCATTACATCAAAATTATTTGGAGATACGAAATATTACGTATGGAATTATAACTCCGTTTATTTAATAATTACAGTGAACAAAATAATTGATTTTATTTGAAAAATAAATTTATATTAGTAATCTTTTTGCTTTTATCGTTCATTTTACCATTGGTGAAGATGGACTTTTTAAACGTGTCCGAAATTGTTTTATGGAAAACCTAGGAAACTGGCATCACTGAAAAAATTATTATACCGATAGAGATGTATACAATATTATATTAAATGTTAGATATATCTTCTTTAGATACTTTCTTCTATAGTTACAGAAATATCTCACACTTATTTTGTGGGAGCATTAGTACGCCACTGCGTGTGATAATATAAAACTTAAATATATACTGCGTGTATATACTGCGTGATCTTTGACTTCCTTGAAATTATTTATATGTTAATGACAGCCCCGAATTATGTAGGCGTCTCTTGTTTTCAAAGTTATCATTATCTAATTTAGATACCTTTTGAAACTAAAAGGTTGATGTGGAGAAAAGATCCGTGAAAACAAGAAAGAGAGACAAATCTAAAGATACATCGCCCGCCCATGATTTGATCTCGATATTAAACCCTTTCGCCAGGTTGAATCACTCTCGACGATATTACAGATCTAATAAGTTATCAAACCATCTCGCTACCTAAAAAGCTTCTTTGTGATTACGAGTTCGTTCATATTCATTTTTTTTACCATTTCACAGCACCGTAAAATCAAATAATTACGAGATTCTAAAGTTTTAAATGTATCAGAGTAGCGCAATCCTTTTATCTAAGCTGAATGTTAACATTTCCTGTTGACTATTTCCTGTCGACTATTTTGACCACTGTTTTTGATCTGATAGTCTATCATTTAATAAGTTACATATAACAAATGAAAAGTACACTTAGTAAATAAGCCAATAAATAAAGCTTAGTAAATCTTTAATATATGGTCATTAGATCAAATATGGCGGACCTTTTCGCTATTCTGATACATCTAAAACTCTACAGAGGAGGAAACTAAGAGACAGCATCCCATGACGCCACCCTCGTGAGTCAAAGGGATTTCAGTCGCGGGCGGGAATCTCGTCGCCTCTGAACTCTCTCGCGGGGTACCGAGAACAACCGAGAGGGCCCGGCCGCTTGGCAAAAACGGCGGCGTTGCCTATTTTCGTACTGCTCGCCGCCGGCCGCATGAACGAGCGCGAGTGTGAGCGAACGAAACGTACGAAACGAATCAGCGAGCGAGCGAGCGAGCGAGCGCGCTCGGCGCTCGTTGAAAGTGAAAGGAGGTTGAATCGGCTCTTGCCCGTCCACTTCTGCCTATGCCGCCCTGCACGCCGACGTAGCCCTCCCCTTCCCCCTCTGTCTCCTGCCTCTCCCCGACCTCACGACTCACGGTATACTACCGTCAGTACAA